ACCTCTGTCGCGTGCGCATACACGACTGGAGGAAGCCATAAACGGGGCTTGAGCAAACAAGACAACAAGCAGGGGCATTGATACATACCCTATGTAACGGAGTATGTCGTGTGTGTGGGCCCCGGCCCTGTTACAAGCAATCAATATTGGCACGCGGCCATATCTGCTGCTTGCACCACTCGAGATGGCATGCCCCGTGCAAAAACAAAGACCGACGTAGGGAGCAGGCGACTTGGCCGTGCCTAGGTCTGGGGCCTCCATGCGAGCACCTGCAGTACGGCCCGGGGCACCAGAACTGGTCAGGCCGCCGATGACAGCACCCGTCCAAAAGCACCAGACCAGAGTTTAAGTACCTCGACTAAACAACCAGATTGCCAAGACCAGTGGGCACGGGCGAGGCAAGAGTGGATCTCAAGTCACGGTGCCCGGCAAATGACCGTCATGAACGAGAACTGATGGGCTCGGGGTGGTGGCGTCCGGCCCTTTCCATGTGGAGACTTCGACATTCCTCCTCGGCCAAAGGCCTGATTTTCAGCTGCGTCGAGTCTCTTAAACAAGCGCTACAGCCGGATGCAGGCCCCGATGCACACCGCGTCGTCCAGAGAAGCCGTCTCTACGTCATCGATGGCGTCCCGCCACAAATGGGGCACGCAATGTCACAGGTTAGTCGTTCCAGGTGTCTGTTCACGCCTGCTTGCATCTGTTTTTCTGATGCTCACACGGCTGAAAATGCTATCTGGCTTCGATGCCGTCCCTTCAGCGACGGTATCCACTGGGCAAGCTAGATCGTCCGCCTTCTAAGCCGCCTCAAAGCTGTTGTTGGTTAGGCTTGGCTAGATAGCTTTGCCAAAGCCGCTGCAATCAGGGGCTCATGTGGACTCAGCATAAAGCTCCGATGCACACCGCAGCTTAAAGAGAAGTCATCTCGACGACCTCGAAGGGCATGCCATCGACAAAAGTCCCAGGGCCCCAAGCCAAGGCTAGGCAAGAGTCGGTCTGTTGCTCTGCAGCTTTCTCAACAGACTGCCGGGCGAAGATATCGTTGCCTCGTGGCCCATTTGCTGGCGCCCAAACAGACGCTGTCCGCCACGGCCACTTGCAGCCGGCCACTTCAGAACAGCGCTAATCAGAATCGCGTTGGCCCATTTCGTTCTGCGCCATGTAGGCGTTGGGAGCAGTTGAGTCTTTGAAGTTGACGACACAGTCAGAATCAAGAAACACTTTCAGCAATGTGTGAGCTGCCCAGCGTGTGCAAGAAAGAGAAAACTATCGAGAAGAGCAAGCTGCTAGGGCCTAGGTCCACGTTCTGCATGGGTCCCTGCAAGCACCTGCAGTACGGCCCGGGGTATGGACATGGGAACCCATCCACCAGAACTAGTCACTGAGGCAGCCGATGACAGCGCCAGTCCGCCGAAAAAGAACAAATCATGTTACAGGAAGCGAAGTACCTCGACTAAACAACCAGATTGCCAAGACCAGTGGGCACGCCCGGGCGAGGCAAGAGTGGATCTGAGGTCCTGGGGGTCTCAAGTCACGGTGCCCGGCAAATGTCCGTCGTGCAAAAACTGAGGCGTCCGGCCCTTTCCATTTGGAGACCTCGACGTTTTTGAGCCAAAGGCCGGATTCTCACCTGCAGCCAGGCACGCAGCCAGGCACCAGCACACAGCAACCATGGATGCAGGCTCCCATGCACACCGCGTCGTCCAGAGAAGCCGTCTCTACGTCATCGATGGCGTCCCGCCACAAATGGGGCACGTAATGTCACAGGTTATGTCGTTCCAGGTGTCTGTTCACGCCTGCTTGCATCTGTTTTTCTGATGCTCACACGGCTGAAAATGCTATCTGGCTTCGATGCCGTCCCTTCAGCGACGGTATCCACTGGGCAAGCTAGATCGTCCGCCTTCTAAGCCGCCTCAAAGCTGTTGCTGGTTAGGCTTGGCTAGATCTCGCTTGGTCCTAGCAAGCTTTGCCAAAGCCGCTGCCATCAGGAAGCTCATGTGGACTCAGCATAACACTCCGATGCACACCATATCTTCAAGCGAAGTTATCTCTACGTTCTCGAAGGGCATGCCATCGACAAAAGTCCCAGGGCCCCAAGCCAAGGCTAGGCAAGAGTCATCTGTTGCTCTGCAGCTTGCTCAACAGATTGTCGGGTCTATGACGTGCATACAGTTGCTTCCTGGTCCATTTGCTGGCACCTAAGCAGACACTGCCGAAGCCCGACAACAGGCGGCCACGGCTGCTGCGGCTAGCTGCTTCAGAACAGTGCCAAGCAGAATCAGGAAACACTTTCAGCAATGTCTGAGCTGCCCAGCGTGTGCAATAACGAGGACGTAGATGCTGCGCAGCAGGGCGTACAGTACCTGCTGCCTGTGCCACTCGAGATGGCATGGCCCGTACCAAAACAAAGACCAACGTAGAGGCCGCCTAGGTCTGGGACCTCCATACCAGCACCTGTGGTAGAAATGTCCGTCGTGGAAAACAGAAGCTGATGTGGCTGACGGGGGTGGGCCCGGGGTGGACTGTGGCGTCCGGCCCTCTCCATGTGGAGACTTCGACTTCCTCTTCAGCCAAAGGCCCGATTCTCACCTGCCTCGAGTCTCTTAAACAAACGCTACAGCCGGATGCAGGCTCCCACGCACACCGCGTCAAGGGAAGCCGTCTCTACATCGACGGCGTCCCGCCACAAAAGGGGCACGTAATGTCACAAGTTATGTCGTTCCAGGTCCCAGTCTGTTCATGCCTGTTTCGCTGCCTGTTTGTATCTGCTTTTCTGATGCTCACACGGCTGAAAATGCTATCTGGCTTCGATGCCGTCCCTTCAGCAACGGTATCCACTGGGCAAGTTAGATCGTCCGCCTTCTAAGCCGCCTCAAAGCTGTTGCTGGTTAGGCTTGGCTAGATCCGCTTGGTCCAGGAGGCTCATGTGGACTCAGCATAACGCTCCGATGCACACCATATCTTCAAGAGAAGCCGACTCTACGTTCTCGAAGGGCATGCCACCAACAGGGCATGTCATGTCGCGAGCCATGCGGTTCCACTTCGCAGTCTGTTCCTGCCTGTCTGAACTAATCTTCACGAACCTCACATGGTTGATGCGGCCAAAGAGCAAGTGATATCGCTCACATTCCAAGTCGGCTCACAACTGATTAAACCTCCCTTTATAGTTTCAAGCTTTGCAAAAGTCAGTGAAGCATCGCGCCCCGATGCACATTTCATCTGGAGCAGATGTTATCTCTACGATCTTGAAGGCATGCCACCAGAAGGGCATGTCGTGTCGCGAGCCATGCGGTTCCACTTCGCAATCTGTTCATGCCTCTTTGAACTAATCTTCACGAACCCCACATGGTTGAAACGGCAGAAGAGCACGTGAAATCGCTCACCTTCCAAGTCGGCTCACGCCTATCACTCGTCAAGATTGAGTAAACCTCCCTTCGTCCTAGCAAGTTTTGCAAGAGTCGCTGCAGCACCGCGCTCCGATGCACGCTGCGTCTTCAGGAGAAGTTGTCTCCACGATCTCGAAGGGCTGCCACCGACAAAGGTCCCAAGGACTCAAGCCAAGGCTAGGCAAGAGTCGATCTTTTGCTTTGGGTGGTCTCAACGGAGAATCTGAATCTGTGACTCAACAATCTGATTGTCGGGTCGAAGAGGCGCATGCTGTTCGCGATGCCTCCTTTCAGTGGCAACAAGCTATCCCATATCGTTGGAAGTGGGATCTTGGACGCCTGAGTGCGCATGAGAGAGGAGCCCGCCACAGGCCCCACAAAGTCGGAAGGGAAAGCAGATTCTTGCCTGCAGAAGCCTCCCGCACAAGACGCTCCAAACTCGAAGGTCTCCGAACACCTTCATCATGGCAGACTGCAGACCCGAGGGGGCTACGTCTTACGTGTTAAGCTGCCAAGTGTCTGTGTGTGTGTGCTAATTTCCTGAGTCAACATTCCTGAATCATGATGTTGAGCACAAGCCGTGGGGCTGCGGCCTGACAGGCAAGAGCCAGAGTATCCGCACACGGCTTGATATTGCGGAAGCAGAGCTCGTAAGGTAGAAATAGTTGCAAGGGTTTGCAGTGTAGCAATAGTAGCAACAGAAATGTTAAATAGAAAGTAGGAGTAGTAGGTAGAGTGGAAACTTGTTTGCATTTAGTGTGCGGGTTCGGGGCCATAGATAGCCCTACGCGTGGAGCATTGGGCAAAGGACTGGCAAGTGCCATGCACGAAACGAGAGGCGTACCGATCGACCTGCATATGTTTTTTGGGAGGCTGGTGACGCTCCTCCTCGGCCCCGCCCACCCCCACCCCCTGACCTTCTTCACCGTCATGCGCAAGCGTATTTTCAAATTCTGTGCTTCTCATGATTTGGAGGCTTGCTGAAGAGTTCGACAATGCATAAGCAAGATTATTTTGAAGGTGCGGGTGACAAGATACCACACCTAATCCACGACACACACGCTCACACACGGACAGCAGAGAACAAAGAACATAATTAATGGTTGCGGGGCCTGGAATCTTTCATCGATGCCAATTTCTCGCCATATTGAAAAGCCTACTAGGAGCCAAATCTCCCAGCCCGCGCGGTGCTGCAGCGTGGTGTCTTCACCCTGCCCCCCCCCGGCGTGCGTGAAAAATGAGAAGCCACCGTGTTTGACAAGAATGTGGCGGCCTACAACTCAGGGATCCCTTTTTTGTCCAAGCGTGACAGCGACAACCCTAACCCTAAACCCAAAAGCCCAGACACCTAAGCCCTAAACCCTAGACCCAAACTCGAAGCCCTAAACCCTGAATGTTCGGGTTCGGGCCCTCGCCAGGGTTGACACCCTGGACCCTAAACCCTTGAACCCTAGACCCTAGACTCGAAACCCAGAAACCTAAATCCTGTAGACCGTCTGGGCCCGGCCGATCTGTGGATCTGACTTGCTTGTGTAGGCCAAAATTCGGCTGTTCGACGAGTATGGCAACGTCCGGGTGTTTCATGGCTTTAGGAAGCTTCGGGTTCTCTTTTCTTCACTCATCTTCACCCCGCCGATTTACGACCGCCGCAGTCTGCCAAGCGCTCGCCTCACATCTGGGCTGGTGCGAAAGAACCTTCAGCTGCTGGTCTGCTTCTGCGTAGCTTCGGCTGGGATCGTCATCAGCTCGCCACAGGAGCTTCAGGCGATCAATCAATGTGATCTGGCATGCCTTCTGACCCTGCAGGAGTCTGACCAGGAAGGACACCCACTTCTGACGCTGAGACCTCGTCAGTGCGCGCCAAATCCATTCAAGATGCTCTGCGCACCACTCTGCCTTGATCGAGGCCTCTTTGGTAATTTCAGCGGACTCCGGTAGCAGGTCTGCCATCACGCCCAGCATGGCTTCCGAAATCAGTTGCTGCACAAACGGGTGGCAGCCAAAGGCATGGTTCAGAATAAGAAGGTGCGCGGACAGACTCACAGATTCATCCACATCGCAGAAATGCACAAACAAATCTCGAAGGTTTGCTTGGACGATATGGCAGATATCGCTTTCTGTAAATGCTTGGGTGTAGCCAGCTCTCGCCATCATCATACACCACCATCGGCCTGGGATTGACAAGCGGACCCCGTTTGGTAGGCAGACCTGATCCCGGCTATTGACAATACATTAAGGGCCAAGAGACACTCAAAGAACTTCTTCTGCGTGACATCCTTCACAATGTCGGCATCGAAGGCACGAGGGTCCTTCCCACCAGACCGCCATTTTGCACAAAAATCGAGAATCGTCTCGTACCTGCGCAGTCATGGTACACGACGCGAGTGGCCAGGCAATGTGCTAATCCGAAGCATTCCAGGACGAACCCACACCCTACCGCACCTGTCCAACCTGCCCATTTCGGTCAGATGCTGCATCAGGACCTCAGGTTGTGATGATAACGATTGCATGGTCCTGGTACTAGTCTTCCCGCGATGCGACGCACGTTGCAACACATTGAGAAAAGCGCACCAAGCTCCCTGCCCTGGGACGTCTGGTTTGTTGGGATGTCCGGCGCCACTCCAAAATGTCATCCACCTATTTGGGCGCACGTGCAGGCGGGCCCCCATCTCTGGGGTTCTGTCAGATCCGTCAACTGCTCTGAAATTCTTCAATTCTTTCATATTCCCTTCACCGCACAGCTGGTCACCAACCGCTACACTTGCAATCTCTTAGAGGCAGGGGGCGGAAAGGTACTCCAGCAGGTTCGGCCTCAGGACTTTCAGGACTTGCTTGCACACTGGACGCAAAGATACGCAAAGCGCCTGAGTTTTATACGGCCAAGTTGCAACAAGAGCGATGCGGGGTCGCACGGGTCCATAGGGCCATAGGGTCAACCTCCACGTCCGCCCCGAAAGCTATCGTCCGAGACTCCTTCGACCTGGGCTGCACAGTAGCTGCGCAGTACACGATGATGCTACATGCCAGGTGCAGCGAATGCAGGCAAGCTGCTGAAACGTAGCGGGATCGGTCTGGGCTGAAGCGCCCGGCCCGGCTTGCGATGTACCCATCCTGGGCATCCGAGGCATTTTCAGCAGTTGTAGAATGTATACTTTAGCTGTCGATAGTATGCTATGGTACACTGCGGTATACTGTGCTGCACTACTATGGGTTCCAACGTCAATCAAGGGTAGCGGGTAGCGTGGCACGCGCAGCAGCGTGCCCAGCGGGATCCATGCGTGCGAAACACCGAAAAGTGAGGCCCTCAAGGGCACTGAGGGTAATACTCTTCGATGTTTCGCAGCCATGATGCCCTTCAGGCGCGTAAGGGGTACAAGGCTACCCGGAGCCACCCCACTGATGCTCAGGATACAGGCGCGGGAGCGCGCGCGCGCACACGAACACCCGCACAAAAGAAAGAGATTGAGAGATTGACAGAAAGAGACAAAAAGGCAGAAAAAAGAGAGAAAAGAGAGAAAAGAGAGAAAAGAGACAAAAGAGACAACAGAGACAAAAGAGACAAAAGAGACAAAAGAGACAAAACAGAGAAAGAGAGCAAGAGAGCAAGAGAGAGAGAGAGAGAGAGAGCGAGAGACAGAAAGAAAGAAAGAAAGGAAGGAAGGAAGGAAGGAAGGAAAAAAGGAAGAAAGAACGGAAGGAAGAAAGAAAGGAAGGAAGAAAGAAAGGAAGGCAGGAAGAAAGATAGAGAGGAAGGAAATAGACAGAAAGAAAGAAAGAAACAAAGAATGACAAAGAAAAAGAAAGAGAAAGAAAGAGAAAGAAAGAGAAAGAAAGAGAAATACAGAGAAAGAAAGAGAAAGAAAGAGAAAGAAAGAGAAAGAAAGAGAAAGAAAGAGAAAGAAAGAGAAAGAAAGAGAAAGAAAGAGAAAGAAAGAGAAAGAAAGAGAAATACAGAGAAATACAGAGAAATAAAGAGAAAGAAAGAGAAATAAAGACAAATAACATACAGAGAAGAGAGAGACAGAGAGGGAGCAACAACATCATGAGCACCAGTGGGTTGGGAGCCTGAAAAGCGGGGAGGGAAAGAAAGAAAGGTAGAAAGAAAGAAAGAGCAAGAAAGAAAAGAGGGAGAGAGAGCGAGAGAGAAAACAAGAGGGGTGCAGCTTTTCTTGAACTTAGGGTTTAGAGTTTCTCTTATCTGCTCTTCTCCTTTCTATCTTCTCTCTAGGGTCTAGGACTGGGGTTTACGGTGTCAAGTTCACCTCGGTCCCTTAGCCCTGACACCGGACGGCCAGTAGCTATGGGGATGATAATGCCAAGGTTTCGTTGTTAGGGGTGGGGGCCGGCCTGTCCCGCTAGGCCAAAAAACATGTGTAAAGCTGGCTTGTCTGATGAAATACACTATGCCACACCCCTTGTAAGCATAAAACATGCAGGCTACTGGCGGCAAGACTTTGGGCAACCTGAAAACATCCTACGAGCAACGCCCCCTCGCCGCCCCGCCACAGGTTTTGAGCACTAGGACATCTTTCTCCCCCCCCCCCCCCCCCCCCCCCCCCCCCCGAAGAGAAAAAACCAGACTCTCGAAACGGCAAGCGGCTGAAGGAGCCCTGCCATCCACGGCTCAACATTCTCCAGGCTCGCCGCCTCAAGGGTCAGTGGAGCTTAGTCTCGGCTTGCGCGGGGTGCTAGGTGTTTGGTGTACTACATGCCTGCATCTCGGAAAGAAAGCGAGGCATGCTGCCGCTGGGACCGCTCCCTTTATGGAAAATCGATCCCGGCATCTTGTCTTCAGAGTGGAGAGACCCCAGGTGCTCTGGCACCATCCCTGCACTCTCAAGGCACGAACTCGGATCTACAGACCCGGAAGCGGCCTGCTGTAGCCGTAGTTCATCCATCCTCGCATGCTCGGAAGACTCTCGAAAGACTCAGAAAGCTGTGAAAAAAGAAAACAGTCGATGCGCACCCCACCTGATCATGACGTAGGCGGCATGGAGACATGAAGAGAAGCTTGCCCTCCTAAACCTTAGAAGCCCTGCATTTTGGATATCTGGTCATGTCGGCCAGGCCGCTCTTCTTGCTGCGAGGCGATCTCCGCCTTGAGCTCGTCGTTGAGCTGCTGTAGGCGGTCGCACCTGAGCGCTCAAGCACGCGCCGCGCCGAAGAAGAGACTGAAGGCAACGGCTTTGAACGCGGGATGGCGTCTAGAAGTCCTGTTCTGGACATGCTACAGCTAGAGGCCCGACCACCGGGCCGCGGGGCCCCTGTGCTGTTGCAGTCGGGCGGCTGGGCTTCGAGATCTTGCGCAGCGCGGGAAGTCTGGAGCAGTAGGCGTTTCAAGCTGGAAAGCTCGATGTTCCTTAGCGACTTGGGGCTGGATTGGGATGTCCCGCGATTGCGGGGTCAGCAGCTGTGCAGTCTGCAGCAGGAGAGAAAGTGAGAAAGATCGCAGGTTCTTGGGAGGATCGAGGAGCCGATCATCGCCACAGGACTGATCACGAACACGACATGAAATCTCTCTGTTCATTCCGGGTGAGACGGGAGAAAGTCGGCCCTCCTTGCCCCTACGTTCCTCCTCCACTTTATCCCTTGCCTTTTCTGATACCCTGCACCATCGTCCGATCCTTCCCCAAAGCCTGAGCACCGAGCTCATACGTCCTTCATCTGATGACCCTCAACCCTCCATGAAAGCCCGGGCTCAAACTCTCGCAGCAGGCGTCCGCCTCTTGGGAAGCTGGGATTCTGGGGCTTTGGGCTGTGGCACTGTCATTAGGGTCTCTAGGGTTTGGGCTTCGCCCATCGTGAAAAGTGGCTATATGTGGTTCAAGTGGACATTCAAGCCTCCTGCCGCTTCTGGCGTTCCCACTGCAAGTCATCTTGGAGGCCACACACGCCTGGGCCAGGCTTACCAGGGATGGACCGAAAATTTAAAATTCCCCTTGCAGGTTTTACTGGGGCGTGTACTGTCTGGCTTTTTCTGCGTGTATTCCAGAGCCTTGATGGATTCAGGAGGGTTGTTGTTCAGGTCTCGAACGCAAGAGGAAGAGTCTGGGAAGGTGGGGCTTGCGGCTTGGTTGCAGCCACGACTCCAAGCACTTACAGTTCCGAATTTCCAAGGCAGGCACTGCCTAGCTTTCAGACGCCCACTGTTGTGGAAGCTTCACGCTTGTCTCGGAGTCATCGCAGAAGGAAACGCTCTCAAGAAGCTCTCGCAGCTTGCTGGCCGGACAAGAAGCCAAGTACTGTTTCTTCTCATTTCAAAGACGCGGAGCGACCATGTGTGAGCCGTCTTGAGATGCCAGATTGCAGACCATAATATACGATCATAAACCTATTCAGCCCGCGTAAGCCCCAAACCTCTATACTTGCATACCGATATCCAAAAAAGGTCACAAACCAGCATTCGCACTCCGAGACGCCGTGCTCCAGTTGCGAGATCAGCATCTGCAGCCTCGGTGTTCGAGCTCTGTCGTCCTTGAACCAGGGATGCTTAGGTCAGGGATGCAGGGTGCAGAAGGGGCGGGGGGTCTTCAATGTTTGGGGTCTCAAAACACGTAGGACCCCCCAGAGTTTTGAGCAGTTGAGGAATACAGGGAGCAGGGCGCACGGGCTGAGGGCTTGAGTATGGGATGTAATATTGCGCCCTGGTTTCTAAGGTGATGATTGTATGGGTGATTCAGTAGTTACCGCCTTGTAAGGTGTGGTGTCATGTGAACGGTTAACAGGAGCTAGAGATAGGGTCCCGAGGGTGGGTTCGCGAGTTCATGGTCTGTCACAGAGTTAATACTAGATCCAAGAGGTAGATGGTGTGGGTGACAGGGAGAGAAGCATGAACTGTGTGGGTCTTTGAGTTCAGGCTAACCATTAACAGGAGCTAGAGATAGGGTCCCAGATGAAGAGGTAGATGGTGTGGGTGACAGGGACGTAGTAATTCCAAGAGAGGTGAGAACGGTCTTCCGCCCCAAAAAAACTGTTCCAGGCATGGACGCCTGCGCATCTCTATCTTACACCCTCACAGTGGATCCCTTGAACCGCAAGCGGGCCTGTCTAAGGCGTGGGTATGGGACTTCGGTTCAGGGAGTGGGATCTGGTGCGGGGGCCGCTTCGCCTGTGCAGAATAAAGTCTCCTCAATGCACACGCGTTACGCATAAGACGAACGTATGTGAATGTTGCCGGCACCACGCGATCAGCAGCAGTTAGCATTCGTGGCAATACTGCGTGTTCACCGAAACTGCTACACGTTGAAAGCATCTATCCCATCGGCCTGCTGCAAAGCATCGTCACGAGGCCACATGTCCAGGTCCCGCGCAGTGGCGGCTGTTGACGCCGTGCTGACTCTTCCTTGTACGTGCTGGTGCCTCGGCTTCAGCAACGCCAACATGCGCCAACGCAGAGGCTGTATCAGTAAGGAGCAAGGACAATCCTTCAGCACACCTTGGGCAACCCAAGTCAGGGTGTGCTTTGCTAAGCGAGCAGCTCCGGAGGCAAGCAGTCGAGACCGCTGTCCAGCTTCCAAACTTGGAAGTCTTCTCCACTGCCTTCTGCACCGGCGCAGACCTCCGAAGCAATTTCCGAACTATGCCGAACAATGCCGATATTTTTCGAAGCCCGAAGCGCGGTTCGCTTTCGTCGCCTCGGCCACGGTGGCAATGTCGCTTTGGCAATCCTGCAGCACGAGACGGCGACGGACAGCTGAGATGATGTGAGATGGCACCCACTGCCAGCCTCCTCAGGGCATTCGGTGGACGGTGTTGCTTCCAGGAACCTGTGGCGTGCTGGGACTCTAGCGAGCTGAGCGCCGCGATGCTACGCCGCTACGCTAGTATCTGGTGAGTCACCAAGGTATTACCAAGCGGCGGGTTCGGGCGCACCGATGCCTGAGTGAAGCCGGGGCTCTGAACTCCAACAGCATGTTCTGCTAGCATTGACAGACTGAACAAATATCCACTGCACGAACTGCCAATGCAGCACAGGTGCTTTGGGCGTGACTAGTTCGGGCTGCAGGTCGTGCACCTCACACCAGTGGCTACGCATGCGCATCTTACAAGGACTGGGTGGAGATTGTTGTTGTTTGGGCCTCATGCTGTTGCCTCTCTTTTTTTTTGGGGGGGGGGGTGTCATCTTGCGCATCCCAACATCTCAGATTCACCTCGTGACTGTCCACAGCGCTTCGGTCGTTCAGGCCTGGCCGGCAAAAGCCTCCATGGCACCCTCCCGCGCGGTGTGCCTTCGATACACGTTCGTGCACTTACGCAGTTACAACCTACCCAACAAGCCCATCACGCAGGCAAGTGCTGCCAGCTGTGTGAGCAGGCCAAGCGGCAATGGGGCCACTGCAGAATATAAGCTTGGAAGTTTGAAGTTCGGACTAACCATAAACAATACAGCATCCCCCCCTCCCCCCGCCAATATTGGCAAAGAGGCCTTGAGTAACCCGGGAAGATCCTAACACCTCTCCCCCTCCCCCCCCCCGCTCCCTCAAAAGGCGCTCTAAGAGGCAAGCGGCTGAAGGAGCCCTGCCATCCACGGCTCGAAATCCTCGAGGCTCGCCGCCTCAGGAGGCAGAGGGAGCTTACGTTCCAAACGGTTCGGAGTTGGGGCTGTCGAGCGTTTGGGGTGTGAAGATCGCATCATTTTTCTAGGATTCCCATGTCCTGGTCAGGCAAGCGCCTCCCCAAATGCCCTCGAGAGAAAGACTGGGATGCCATGCGCCGGGCCCAGCCGGGCCCCGAAGGTAACCCCCGAAGTCTGGTAGAGCTGCAGAGCTGGCGCTGTCATGTGAAGGGCTAGGACGGAAGGTATGGCTGAGACATTCTCATTCGTCTCTTTTGAGAGCATGGCTTCTTTCGATGATTCGATGGATGAACATTCCTCACGGAGGCTGACGCGCGAATCCCTTTCCAGTAGAGTGCACTCTGCACGTGCTGGCAACTGACAAGGAAAGAACGGCTTCTTCTTCCGCCCCCAAAAAAAAGCTCCAAGCATGGACCCCAGCACTACGTGCATCCCAAACATAAAGCGGAGGGGTGCGGTTTGGGAGCTGTTCTGGTGCGGGACCCCCTTCGTCCGCGCAGAACATTCCCTCTCAATGCTCACACAGAACGCACAAGATCAATGTATATGTCACCAGGCTACCATCAAACTTTTCGGCACTCCTCTCACTACGGCATTGTTCACAGAGACCGCCAAACGTTGAAAGCATATCGTCAGCGCGCTGTTCAGGCCTCGTGCACAGCATCACCGCGCAGGGAAACGGCCGGGGCCCGCCCAGTGGCGGCAGCGGACGCAGTGTTCGCACTTCCTCGGCCGCGTTGGTGCCTCGGCTTCAGCAACGCCAACGTACGCCCAACGCAGAGGCTGACTCCACCACCTCATCATCCGAGCATGAAAGACATCAACACCCCAAAAACACCTACACCTCCTTCAGCCCCCAGCAGCCTTCCGTGCAGTCCAAGGAGCCCCGGAGCAAAAGCCGTGCCTGGTGCAGCTGACTTCAGTTAACGGGACGACACATCCTCTACAGAACCTGAGAGAGCCCAAGAGAGCGCCCGGGCACCCCTTTGGGACTATAACTGAAATCACACACGGTTCCCCAACGTGCCAGATAGCAGCGAACAAATCATCACCGCCAGGGTTCAAAAATGCTGCAGTCTTGTCCACAAAACCCACAACCCCTCCGTGTCTCAGCGGGCATCATCGCGAAGCGCGATCGAAACGTGCCCTCGGGCCTCAAACCCGGCACTCGGCAGAGCTCGTTGTAGCTTGTCCTTTTTAAGTTGAAGCCGTGCCAGATCTTGACCTCCTTCTCCCCCACTGGCCCCCGCTTTGACAACTTTCGAAACGCAAGAAGACACTGGCAACGCAGACTGGCAGTGCTGACTGGACTCTAAGCGAGGCACGGGCAGTCGGGGTTGTCGGAAGTGTAAAAGCTGGCCTGAGCAATCGGAAAGTCAAGCCTCTTCATTGGCTTCAGGGGCCTGTGGGTTGATGGGTTTAGGGTCCGCTTCAGGCATGGCAGTTCCTGAGCGCCTGTCAAAGAGACAGAGAGAGAGAGAGAGAGAGAGAGAGAAAGAGAGAGAGAGAGAGAGGGGGAGGGAGAGTGAGGGAGGGAGGGAGGGTCCAGTTCAGGGTTTGGCAGGAAAGATCCGCCAATATCCGCCACACGTCCCAGTACTGCAGCTCGAGCGGTGCAACGCGGCTGAGAGGCAAATATCGAGGATCACCATCTTTTTGCATCCAGGCTGCTTTCCGTTGGGAAGGCCGGCCGTAGGCGTACGGGCTGCCAGGTCCTGCTCAGAAGCTGAAGCACCCTCCAGCAAGGGCGACATGCCCCGTGGATCTCGGTTTCTTCTGGGCCGCAACTTGAAACCCCATGATGGTCTGGAAGTCTGCCCAGCTTCGCTTCATTCCTGCCTTGCAATGATATCCGGTCCTGGAAGCTCGAACCTCACCACGGTCCCTAACCAAGCTTTTCCCTAGCAGATCCTTACTACCATCGACTTCCGCCGTAGGCGCTTCTTCGCTTGGCAACCCTCCACCGTCAGGTGTCCTGGCAGCATCCAGGGCCACCGCTCTGCAACGGCCTGGTCACAACAGCTTATGGGGGCGCACTGAACCCTTGGGACTTCAAAGTTGGCTGAACATTTACACTGGACCAGGCGCAAAAATGAAGAGCTATCGGTTGAAGCCGCATCTGTGTGAGGATTTAGGGTTCAGGGCAGGGTTTAGAGAGACCTTGCGCTTTCGGGATTCAGAGGAGGCAGTTTCTGGACTCTACGCAGTACTTGCAGACTATGCCTCCCCCGCATCAGCCCCACCCCGCCGCGGGGCCCCCACACACACAACCTGCAACCTCAACCCGGCATCTCAAGTGACATTCTCAAAGTCTAATGTTGCGCCCCGAGTCCTACCGCGATTTGGTTGCCACGCATCTTTTCCCAATAACGCGTTGATGACGGTCATACTGCATGCAGCGAAGGAGCAGGCGGCGCAGTTGTTGCTGCCTGACAGACTTCCGGAGCTCTGCATCTTGGCAGAAGCTTGGGATGCAAAGGTGTTGAATCCGAAGCCCTCGGTCCGAAACGCAAACATTTTCGACGGCCTCAAGTCACAGGGTGTCCAGGCATTCAGGCAAGCACGGCTTTTGGAAAGCATCTCCTGTTGGGACAATTTTAAACTAGTGGGGTATGAGGATGCCAACATCCCATGGACAGGACCGATTGGACGAAGCTTGGGTACCTTGCGTGCCGAAACAATCGCAACGACCTTGCCCAGAACGTTCTGAAACTCGCAAGAAACCGGGAGGGAAAACTCCCAACAGCGCACAATCGCCGCAAAATAATTAACACCCAAAACTACAGCATGTGAAAATATTTTAAGATGTTACAGTACAAGGCTTGTTCAACCCCCGCCAACCCCCCACCCCCCCTCCGCCCCCGCTCGGCCTGCTAGGGCCGGGGGCGAGCCACTGGAACCAAGCCTGCACCGGTGACGTGCCAGCGTGGGACAACAAGGCAGGAGCACCATGCTCTGCCGTAAGTCGAAATCCGAGAAGATCCACTGCATGTCTAGTATATGCAAGCATGCACGTTGGATCTGCTCTACAACTTTGCACAACATACAGGCCCCGCAAGTTTTCAAGCATCCTTCCTGGACGTCGGGAATAGCTAGACGCGCAACCCAAAACATCCGCGGCGTTCCGCTTGGAGGAGTGCCCTGCGCTGTTTGCGCGGCTTGGCCGGGTCGCCACCTGGGCGGCAAGGCACTGTGCCGTCGCGGAAGGCTGCTCAACTCTGCAAGACCCTTGAGCTCAGCGAGGGAACCTATATGACCATTATTTGACCATTATTGAACCCCATGGAACCCCTCCACCTGCACCTGGGACAGCAGCACGCCATGGGCAAGGCGAAGGCTTCTACTTGGGAACCGCCATTTGTTCATTTGTTCCCTATCACACAGCCACCATGCCCATAGCCACTCGAATTCAAACCAGTTCCTCTCGGGATACGAAACAGAAGCAGCCCTAGGCCTGTGTCGAAGCTCAGCTGTTGTTACCACGTCTTTGAGCCGAGTGTTTATGGCATTTTGTGGCAGAGGATGTGGCCTGGGCTGAGCCTGGCAGCTTTGGCTTGTAAGGGCTTGCGGGCTGACATTTTGGGGCAAAGCTTCGGGCTCCTCCCCAGCCCCCCGCTAGGGCCCCCCAGCTTGCACCCACCCAAGCTTTTTCGTCTGGGATGTCGGGGTCATCTGAAGTTAGCAATGACACAGCCGACACAGCACCGCTTCAAGTGAGCGACGCGCAACCTCTCTCACTGAAGCAGGGCGGCACAGCTGCTTCAGCTGACGCTTTGCATCTGCATGCGTCTTCGACGGTTGAGCATCAGCCAGAGGAGGTCCAACTTGGAGATGACGCACTGCTGGCGCCAGGCATTTGTCTCGAGACACAGCATCGTCGTCAACAAAGATACACCTTCCTGTCGTTGGGCGGCGCTCATCGACCCGATGCAAAATCTCAGCAGCTTCATGGCATTCCTCTTCCAGTCCCAGGCGTCGTTTGCTGATGTGAGATGGAGCGACTTCCGCGGGCTCAAGATCCCGGCGCCTGCTGTTGCCTGGATTTTCGGCATGCCGTTACGAGTGATGGCAAACAAACTGCGGTGACAGCGCCGGATCCGTGCTGCCAGTGTTCCATGACGTCACGCGCCAACGAAGGAGCCACCGTGACTTCTCAGACTCGGGAAAGTGCCTGAATTCCTGATCAGCCTGCGCGAAGTGCCACACCCGACCTCAGTTTCCACGTGCACCAAGGTACTTGCCAACCCTACAACAGTCCCCGGACGTACACACGCACCGGCTGAGTTGCCGCAGGTGGAAATCTCCATGCGCTGTGTGCAGACGTTGCCTTCCGAAGATACCGTGTGGCAACCACTTTAAGCCCCCTAAATCCAAAACCCCCACCCCTGTGGCAGCTTCGTTCAAACAGCCAACCAGTTTGTCAACGTTGTTAAACAAAGCAATCTCATCTCTCTGTGTTTTCTTTCTATATTATATATCTACACATATACATAAATATACATACATACGTACATTTAATGAGTATGGTACCACCGACAGTCTCGTTCTTATCAGAAGTTCGTATCAATTACTAGCCGGCTTTACTCCTGCATTCTTGAATCTTGCAGCGTTCGCAGCAACGCACTTTGTAGTGAGTTTGTTTGAGTTTGTCTGAGCTACCTGTAGGCCTATTTTTGTATGGTTCGGGGCAAACACCTCCAGGGGTCCAGAGGGCAAACGGCCAGTGTTCGCTGTAAACGCAATTGGTGGCACGGCGTAGCTCAGATTTGTTAAACTGTCAAAGCAACGAAAAGTGAGTTTAGTATCAATAGTAGACTAAATTACCAGTTCGAAGAAATGTAGATCCTACATCAAGACCAGTCTGTCGTTGCGACCGAGAAGTGAAGCGACTCAGGACAGGCAGATGACTTGGCGTTCGCAAGCTGCAACCCTTTCATCAGCGCGTGCGAGAAGGGTGGGCAGCGGCTCCCCGACTTGGCATTTCCGTGGTTCATGCCGGGTGGAGCCCAGGAAATCCGACATTTGCGCGTGGTGCCGAGCTGAAGTTCGGTGCCCAATGCTAGACCCAGCTGCAAATTCGATTTTCGCCGTATACAGTTCGCAGTTGATCTGCCAACAATCGGCGCCTGCTGAGACACCTCAGCGGCGGGCGCTCCAGAGAATCAAGCCAACCAGAAGCTGCAGCAGGCCCCATTCTGCCCAGCCTTTGTTTACGAGATGATTGCGAAGTCGCGATGGTTTGCTGGAGTAAAGTGCCATGGACG